AAGATTTCTTTTCAGTGGTTGTTATTTAATTACTTAAAAAATGGGCAGATCACGATCTCGTTCGTTATCTCGGAAAAAGTCGTCACGTCGCCGTTCATCATCTCGTTCAAAACATCCTGGGAAAAAAAGCCGGCATCATACACCCGAAAGAAAATCATCAAAATATCGGCATCGATCAGATAGTTCGTCCAACTCATCGACAAACCGCTACAAATCATCATCGAAATACAAAAGTAAACGACAAAAGAAGCGTGACTCACGATCTCCATCGTCGCATAGGAGCCGGCACAGACGGAGACGAACGAAATCTTCGGATTCATCAAGCCGTAGTAGCAGTTCAAGCAGCTCAAGTAGTAGCTCCACGAAACATACACACCGATCCTCATCGTCATCAGATAAACTGCATCGAAACAAACCATCCTCATCGTATGTCGACAGAATTCGTGCGATGCGTACGCCAACACCACCACCAGCAGCGAAGCTGAACTTTGATGCAGGCATGGAATTTTTGGACAAACGACAAGTTTCAGATGCTCTCGAGGAAATCAATGCCAATGATTTCCAACCGAAGACATTCAACTCGTCGGCAAACAACAAGAATGAAAAGTCAGACGCAGACATAATTAAGTTGAAGGGCGAGATCAAAGGCGCCAAAACTGATACAAATGACGATCCGCTGTTTCATCAAAAGGTAAACATGAATACATGTGAAGATTCAGCCTTATAAATTGAACACTAATGAGATAATCTCTTAATCGCTTTTGTAGCTCTTTCGCGACGATGACGAACGTATGAAGGAATGGGTTCACCGATTTTACACCTATCGACAGAAAATGTTTGGTGCAAATAACTGAGATTTAGATTAAGGAGGAGTTGAAATTTTACAAATTATAATATAAATTGTGTCATGACCAAGAAATTGTATGAATAAAAACAAACATTTGATTAAGAAGAGAATTCGCTTCAATTCAATTTTAATGAATGCATTTCAAAAATTCACCACATTCTCCTTTATCACTGCTCGGTTTGACAGCTGTCAAACGCTCAAAATGACACAAACATCGGAATTGTGTGTGATTTATTTGCATAATAAACGCCAACGAGATTGTTTTACTCCAAAAATTAGACGGCATAGCAAAATTGTTGTGGTTTTTCACATAATTTAGTTGCTTTCAAAGCATATCCCCGTTTAAATGGCAGTGAAAAACGTTTATTCTGTTTAAATATAAGTGAGTTCACTTGTTGATAAATATAGTGTAGATCCGCCCATAATAAGCAATCACAAAAAAGGTCACAAGTGATTGGCACAAGAACAGAAAATACATACAATGGCTGGAATCAAGTATTTACTGCAAAAAGAGGTGTTTGATGCGACCAATGAGCGAATTTTATCGGTTTGCAATGTTCAAAAATGGCACAAAAAGAAGCGAAACTCATATTTGTGTATTGTGCTAGAGGCGCGTTCAATTCCAACGCTTGTTCAAGTGAAGCAAAATGATAAGGGAGTCTATCGGAAGAAACGAATGTGGCAATTGAGCGAAATCAAAACGGTTGACGGGAAAAATGATTCAACCACTGAGCCAATCAACGAATTCGATTTGATTTGCGAGAAGAATTATAAATGGTTTGCGGCAAATTTGCATGAGCGCCAGAATTTCATAACCGTATTGTATCGCCAAATCCATAAGTATATCAGAGTGCCTGAAAATCGTGCAATTTTCGTGAATATTCCGCTAACATGGCTACAAGAACAATCGCCCGAGAAAGTGCAACAAACTGACAATTTGACGAATGGAGACACGCTTGATGACGGCGAAGTGAGCGATGAATTTGAAGATTTTCAAGCGCTCACAGAAAAGGAAGAGGTTGAGTTAAATAAATTGATTGCCAATTCCAATTTAGCCATTACCAATGCTGAGCAATTCATGGAAGACCTGAGTAAAAATCTGCAAGATTTAGACGGCGCAAATGTTCAAAGTGTGCTGGCTTCGGAGAAACAAGTAAATGCCCTGATGGAACAAATCGAAGCCGCCATCGATGAGGCAAATCGAGTCGAAGCGCGGTTTGATGAATACGATGAAATTTTGTGCCATGTGCGGGACACAATGGAAAAAATGGGCGAGAAAAATACGATGATTGAAGTGGCAAACAATAATAACATCAAACTCTTGAATGAACTAGAGAAATTGGTAACACAATTGGATCTGCCGTACGGACATCAAGTCGCGCTGACCGATACCGACTTAACAACACCACAAGGTTTGGCGGCTGCAATTGGCGCAGGGAAAGCACTACAAACAGCAATGAATTGTGACATCGACTCGGCACTTTTGCGATTGACAGCCGTTCAAGATCAACGTAAGCGTTTCGATAAATGGAAAGCCAAATTTTCGCAGACAATTACTCGTCATTTGAATAACATGTTTATTCATTTGGCCAATGATTTGGGTGAATTGAATGTGATTGCATCGTCGGGCAGCACTGAATTGGTTCTAATGAAACACGGTGCCGTACATAAGGAACTCAGTGCCTACAGTGAACTTATGCATTGGCTCAAATCGATGGACCGAAAAGCGTACGATGGCCTAGCCAAGGTGTACACAAGTGCGATGAGCAAAGTGTATGAACGTGAGCTGAAAAACTTTTTTGATTTAGCCAAATCTTCCATATCACCACAACTGCTCAACGACAGCGAAATGAATACATCGATTTCAAGTAAATTCAAAAGTCCACAATCGAAACAAATATCACAACCGTACGGAATACTCGGTATTAGCAAAGAACAATGGTCAAATGGATTGGATGCGAGTGAACGGCAACGCTTCGAAACAATTATGGAGAAAGTGCTAACGGAATTGGAGCCGGTGGCTTTGAGTGAACAACACTTTTGCATTCAATTCTTTCAACTGGACGTTTTGAGTCCAACAACAAGGAACACTCAAACAACATTGGATGGAGTTATGAGCACTAGCATCGGTCCAATCGATGGAAACGATAAAGAAGGTAATGAGGCACATTTCGAATGAACCAAAAAATGAATAGTTTGATTGGGCAAGGAACATGTAATGAACGGATTGTCTTTTTTTTTCTAGCTGTCGCTGCTACTATTGGACTGATTGCACCCCAGAAGAAAGTCGATCGACAAATTAACGAAGATGTTCGCCGAATGATGACTTCACTTTTCAATATTTTGGAATCAGAGCTGAATAGCTTTATCAATAGCTTTGAGAAATTGGATAGTTTGTGAGTGTTTTTTTTCTTTTTGTTTTTAGCCTTCAATTTTCAACAAATTTGTAAACAAAATTGCAATGATCTATCTCTCTCTCTTCCTCTGTTTTCTTTCAGTTATTCCATGTATGTTTTAGTGCGTTTAACGCAGCACGTTATGTCCGCTCAGGATGCACACTCATTTCTGAGTATGACATTTGCATCGGCACTGGTGCAGGTGAAGCGAAACTTTGACAAATTCATGCATATACAGTTGCAGTCAATTATCGAGTCAAAGGTTCCACGTCGCTCGAAATGTGGTCTTTTGCCATATGTCGAGAACTTTGAGGAATTTTCCAATACAGCCGAATGTATCTTTCGTAAAACTGAGCGTCGCACCGACTTAGACAAATGGTACGTTCAATTGGTCAATGCAATTTTCGAACACATTCCACTTCATGCGAGTGAACACCCAAAAACACCCGATCAAGTGGTTCGAATGGAGAACTATCATCATATGCATTCATTGTTGGCTCATCTAAAAGTACCCGTTCTCGATGAACAGAAGAAAGTGGCTAAAACGAAGTATAACGAAGCTTTGCGTGCTTATGTAACGAAATACTTTGGACGGCCACTGGAGAAGTTGAATCTGTTTTTCGATGGTGTGCAACAGAAAGTGGGCCAAGGTGTTAAAGAGACTGAAATTAGCTATCAGATGGCATACTCAAAGCAAGAGCTGCGCAAAGTAATCAGCTTATATCCGGCACGTGAAGTGAAGAAAGGACTTGAGAGTCTCTACAAAAAAGTGGAAAAACATTTGTGCGAAGAGGAAAATCTATTGCAAGTCGTTTGGCGAGCGATGCAAGAGGAATTCATCGTGCAATACAAATATTTGGAAGAACAAATTCAACGTTGTTACGCCGGTTCGATGATTACACTCGATTTTACCATCGATGACATTCTGCATTTCTTCTCGGAAATCGCTCAATCGCATTAATTTCTGTTGCATATAATTACTTCATATCTTATTCGAATATTACTCGATATCGCAGAATTAATAATTGCTTGCTTTTAAAAATGCTGTCAAAAATTTAATTGTTTAATATTAGAATGGAAAATCGAGTCACGAAAACATTACGATGGTTTCAGTGTGTCCAAATCAAACTATTTACATGTTCTTATGTCAGCCTGTTCTATATTTATTAGCGTTCTCTTTAATAAAAATAACGATTAATTAAATGTTAATGTATGAACAGTGTTTTTGTCATGTTGGCCAATACAAAATCAAATATAGAATATATTATTGTTATTACATGTTTTTCAAAAATTTGATCTTGAACCGTTGAACGGTCACAGGGATGAATGGTTGCTTGATTTTTGATTATTTTTCTAAAACGTACGAAAAGTATATTCCAATGTATCTCCAATTTACATGTTCCATAGTTTGTTGCTTTTAATGTATTATTTCTGATGCATAAGGATAAGTAAGCATACCGTTTTTACTTCAAAATACTTTTTATTCGTTCAATTGGTACAAAAGAATCTGTACAAATTTCGTGTCTTAATGTTAAAAGTGACGGTAGTGTCAACTATTTGTGTCCGGCGGTGACTTAAAATAAAATAAAGATTAGGTCATATGTCTTGGTCATGTATGTATGTATGATGTAGCTTGATGCCAATTTGCTTAATTTCGAATGGATAGAAACAAAAGTTGTATAGAAAAAAATGGATAATGAAATGGTATGTAGAATAAAAATCGAAATTGAACTTTGTCGTTTAGTTGTTGTTTACACTGTCAGTGAACAAAGAAATGTATTGCAGCTTGACTTTAAGCAAACCGGGATTGACTTCGGCCCATCTATAAATAAAAGCAATGATTGTGGTGTGTATTGATGTCATTCTAAATGATTCGCAAGGTCAATGGCCAATGCCATTTCTGTCAATATCAACTTACGATAATTTTCGTTCCTTCAGACGACACTTGACCCGATGCTTGATTGTTGAGAACCCACCGGCGCTGTGTAAACCTCTTCCCGTAATGATGAATACGTATTTGAAACCACGTTTTGCATCTTTGAGCTCGTTGATGTGTCGATCAATGTAAATATCCTGTGGGAGAAAATGATATTTTGATTATTAATCTAAACAAATTTTCTATTAATTTAAATTAGAATACCAAGCATTCGATCGCTTCGTCCGCATGTAGATAATGCAAATCAAGCATATTTGGATCCTGTTGCGTGTAGGAATGTACTTCGACAATGGCATTTGCCGCTTTGTGATTGTACATACCGATTTTTGTGTTGTGCAAATTGGCCACCGTTGTATAATAATACGCAACTCCTGTTTGTTTGCGTTGGAATGCTTCTCGTGCCTTATTGTAACACTCAGCTTTCAGGTGAGAATGATGCATAGCCATGTTACGATTTTCCTCAAAATCGCGTAGAGCCGCCCGTTTGGCATCTTCCACATCTAGCTTGTTCAGCGTAGCAGCAACACCTTGGATCTTGTGCTTGTTAGGCTTTGAATGGGTTGGTTGCGTTGGTTGCACCTGAAAAAATAATGAGAAAATAGAATTTCCTTAGAACATTATTTAATCTCATAATAAATCAATTCATACCGTTTGCGCTTCAACGCGGACTTGTGTTGCCAGCTCTTGACCTTTGGCTCGTATTTGCTCATCTATTTCTGACTTTAAGCTCTCTTTGAAGAATTCCACCGTCTTTGCAAACTGATTCCCATACGCGGTGAACACTTCAATTAGCTGCTCTCGGTCGACGTTAGGGAAAATTTCGTATAGCTTTGCTTTCGTGAGTTTCATTGCCAAGTCTTCGCGCGTCGTTTGTTTCCATTCATTTGCATTGCAATTGTATGCTTTCCAAGCGTATTCCATGTCAGCGATATTTTGAACATTCGGATTGGCCTGTGCAACTTCAAACAGATTTTGAGCTTGTGGCTGCTTCACTTGCAGTTCTTTGGCAAATTCTTCGTCGTCTTTGATTGACTGCTGCTTTTGCTCCTCGATTTGATGGTAAAGTGATTCAATAAAAGTTGCGTACAACTGTTGCCCGAGTGATTTTGGCATAAATACTTTTGTCTTGATATCTTTCAAATTTTCACTTTGGAACGTGTTAGAACCGAATTGATTGTCCAATTGACAAACAAGCTCTATGCCTAGGTCGATTTCAATCATGTCATCATCTTCATTAATGTTATCGTCATCGTGCGGGCTCGAGCTGAAGGATGCTTTAGCTGTCGATTGATTCGATGTAGTAGCAGTTGAGGTTGTTGCCATTGATGTGGATGGCGCACCGCGTCGGGAATCACGTATTTTTCGCGCATGGTCGGAATAATGGTTGTCGGAAATGACAAACTGTTGTTCAATATGTTTGAGCACATCATTTTCATTGGGTGCATGGTTTTGCTTTTGTCGTCGTTGATTTCGTCCCAATTGTGACGGCTGCTGTGCACGGCTATCTTTGAGCCATTCGACCGGGATGGCTTCAACTGCTTGCGAAAACTCAGCACTTAATGGCTCATCGCAGTCGCATGTAAAATTATCGCGGTCAATTTCTTC